CTTATACTGAGCAACCCCAAACCAATCTTAAAAGTTCAACATGTTAACTGTTCTTCAAGAGAAGAAGGAATTAAAAATAACTAATTTAAGTAAAGCAGAGATTACAAACTCTATTGCCTTCAGGGGCTAAAGAGATTACAAACTCTATTGCCTTCAGGGGCTAAACTGCTAATGTAGCCTCAAACAGGAGGAGGTGGAGTGGCAGAAACTAGAGGTCACATGTTCCATCTAGACTGTAGAGGCATAAGCACTTTTCTTTTTGAAACACTGAACCTGCCAAACAACAAAGTTATATAGGACAAAATTTGACCAATGGCTGCTTCTGTGTAACCTGTGAATACATTTTCATTTTTAAGAGTTAGTGTGCCCTGGCCAGTTTGGTTCAGGGGTTGGAGGGTCGGCCCATGGACCAGAGAGAACCGGGTTCGGTTCCCACTAAGGGCATGTACCTCGGTTGCAGTTTGTCCCTGGCCCCGGTTGGTGTCGTGTGGGTGGCAACCACTCGATGTGTCTCTCTCACGTCGATGTTTCTCTCTCTCTCCGCCCCCTCTCCCTCCTGCTCTATCTGAAGATAAATGCAAAAAATGTCCTCAGGTGAGGATAAAATAAATAAATAAATAGTTAAGTGTGTCCCATGTTGTCTATACATTGAGGCTGGTGAATGACATTTTACACACAGCTCCTTATTAAAGTCAGCTAGCTGAGCCCTGGCCGGTTTGGCTCAGCGGTTAGAGCGTCGGCCTGCGGTACAGAGAGACCCGGGTTCGGTTCCCGCTAAGGGCATGTACCTCGGTTGCAGTTTGTCCCCGGCCCTGGTTGGTCGTGCGGGTGGCAGCCACTCGATGTGTCCCTTTCACGTCGATGTTTCTCTCTCTCTCTCTTCCTCTCTCTCCCTCCTGCTCTATCTGAACAAAAAATGGAAAAATGTCCTCGGGTGAGGATTAAAAATAAAAAGTCAGCTAGCTGAGTAGGTAGTAGGTGGGTAAACAGTGAAGCCACCTCCTATCCTTCCTGACTCTGAGATCTAAAATTCCAACAGTTAGAGCCAATATTCATCAGAAGAAGAAATCTGTTTAGTCTTCATGAAGGATAAACGATACACCTCCAGTATATGGCCTATCTAGCAGGTAATATAACCTGAGAAAGTCTGGAATCAGGGTGAACGCCACCCCCCCACCATAAAAAAACATGCCTAGTTTGTGCAAGGAGCACTGCTAGAGTGGTGACAGACACTGGCCCCTCATAAAGTTCAGTCTAGTCAGGAAATAAGGACTAAATAGCTGTTAATGAATGTGATCAATTCTGCAAAGGAATAGTACTGGGTATAATCAGAACAACTGTGACCAGCAGGCAGTACATATAGCATGGGTCAGGGAAAGCCTACCAGAAATTTAAGCTAAGTTCTAAAGGATAAGTAGGAGCAAATCACATAAAGAGAGGAAACACTCTAGAAACATTTCCAGACAGAAGCGTGTGAAGATTCCAAGATGAGATAGAAGGATCTCAGCAGGGAAGTAACATGATCACATGGTTTAAAATAGTAGCGTCAGAATATGGAAAAGGGAGTAGAGAGCAGCACAATGAATGTTCTAAGACGAGTTACTGAATGAAGAAAAATGAAGGTGTTTTGGTCTTGGGTAATGGATATAAAAACAGAGAAACTGCAGATTTTAGAAATACATGATGTAGAGAGAGAGAGAAGAAACTAACAATAGTAAGTCCTAGGCTTCTGGCATTAAAAAATGAAATGACACTGATTATGAGCTCACTTGGAAAGGCCAGGTTTGAAATACCTCTCAGACAATAAAGGGAGCCATCAACTATACAAATGAATGAGCCCTGGCCGGTTTGGTTCAGCGGTTGGAGCATTGGCCTGTGGACCAGAGAGTCTGGAGTTCAGTTCCCGCTAGGGGCACGTAATAAAAAATAATAATAATAAATAAATAAATAAACAAACAAACAAATGAATGAGTCTGAATCTCAGAGAATGAGGCTGGAGACATAATTTGGGAGTCATCTACACATAGGCACTAAATAAAGCTATGGTAGTCAATGAGGTGTACCAGGAGACGGAAAAGTAGTCTGAAGCCCCAAGAACACCTCTACGGGGTAGGAGGAGGAGGAGTGGCTGAGAAGGAAAAGCCAGAAAGGTAGGAAGCATACCAAGGGAGTGCTTTGTCACAGAAATTAAGGACCCAACATGTTAGAAGAAAAGATTGGTCGACTGTGCCAAGTACTGCTGAAAAACTCAAGGAGCATGATAACTAGCAGTGATCTTCACCTTCACAGATGTGCAGATATGGTGATCCTAGTAAGGGCAAGACTGAACAGAATAGTTGAGACAGAAGCTTACCTGGAACACATGCAAAGTGAATGAAAGATGAAAAAAGGGAGATAACAAGTATCAACAGTTCTTATGAGACATTTAGCTGTGAATGGTAATGCAAGGCCCACACATATCTAAAGCTAATGAGTAGGACCAAGTAAAAAGGCAGAACCTGAAAATACTTCAGGTTTTTGACAAGGGAGAAAAGATGTGATCCTTAGCACAGGTGGAAAATTGGCCTTTACTAGAGAGATACTACATTCCATTAAAACAGGAAGGAAAAAGAAAAATACCAAGAGAGGAGAAAATACAGGTAAAATTGTAGATTCAGTGGCAAGACACAGTTTCCACCTGATGCCTATGCTTTCTCTTTTCTCTGAGAAGTAGAAGGCAAGATCACTTATTAAAAGTAAAAGGAACAGCAGGAAAGTTGGAGGCTTGAAGAGAAACAACTATGTCAAAGTGGTGGAACAAACTGACTGGAGAAAAGAGTGAGACTACTGGGCAGTGTGGAGGGTGGACTGGAGGTTTGCGACAATGTACAAATGGAAGTCCTCGTCTACCCTGTGTGGGGCTTCCTCCAGAAGAGGCCCAGGAAAGGTTTAGTTTGTAGGTTTATTCAGGGTTGTAGCACTACCAGACAGGTTTGATGAAAAGTTGAAGGGACAAGAAATATTAATACTAGTTAATTTTTACTGAGCAATTATGGTCCAGGGCCCTGCAAGTGCTTTACATGAATGACTTCTTTAGTCCTCATGGCTACCCTACCCAGCTGGAACTATATTACTCAAAGTTTGAGATTTAATGAGACCAAAAAAAAAAAAGAGAGAGAAAACAAAATTTAAAAATAACATGATATAACATTGTGTGTATGATTTTAAAATACTTCTTGTATCAGGAGGGCAATGGACCATGACATTACAAGCATTTTTCTATCGTAGTGTTAGACAGTGTTAGAATTTATATATTTATTTATTTTTTAAATCCTCACCTGAGGATACTTTTCCATTTATCTTCAGACAGAGTGGGAGGAATAGAAAAAGGGGGGGGAGAGAGAAACAATGATATGAGAGAGACATCGATTGGTTGCCTCCCACACAACCCTGACCAGGGCTGGGAATGAACTGCAACCAAGGCACATGCTCTTGACCAGAATTGAACCCGCCACTCTCTGTCCATGGGCTGATGCTCCAACCATTGAGCCAAGTGGCCAGGGCAACCATGTTAGAATTTAAAGACTCACCAAGTCCAGAACTTAAAGAGAACCGAAGTTAACTTATTTCACATTTATATCCCAGACATTATATGTTTTTATATACTATCTCATTTCCTCAAAATGTCAACATAATATTAATCTATATCCTGAAGAAGATGAGGCTCAGGAAGACTAAACAATTTGTTACACCTTTTATCAAATCCCTGAAAAATGAAGTATCCCATGCTTGACCCCCCCCTTGCCAGTAGGCCCTACAAAACCATGGGTAACAGGCCTGATGAATTCATCAGAACAAAAAACTTTACAGTTGCTTGCTCTCAGTGAAAATTCTTTCCAAACATCACTTTATTCTTTCTTTACAAATATATTTTTATTGCTTTTTTTTTTTTTAATACAGAGAGGAAGGGAGAGAGAGACAGAAACATCCATGTGAGAAAGAAACATCGATTGTCTGCCTTCTGCACGCCCCCTACCGGGGATGGAGCCTGCAACCATCAGTATGTGCCCTGACTGGGAATTGACCTGGGACCTCTCAGTCCATGGGACAATGCTCACTGCACTGACTGAGCCACATTGGCTAGGTGAAACCTTACTGTATTCTATCAAGTAAAAAAAACTAGGAAAGATCTCACCACTGTATTACAACTAAAGGAAACACAATAAAAATTTGAAAAGCGAAGAGTAAAACTTAGAAGAAAATCATTCTTTCCAATCCCCAAACAGGAACACTGATGTTACCAGATGTTATTAGATTTTGTAATTTTGCAGTGACAGAATAATTAGGCAGCGTGGTAAATTTCATTTCATTCTATCATCATACTAAAGTTAAAAAACTGATGGTTTACTTTCCTTGAAAGTAATTAAACACCTTAGCTCAAGTGAATGTTTTCCTAATTGTCATGATGAACAAGATATTTTTCTTAACTGAGAGAAACAAAAAACAGTAATGATAGGTGAAAAATGTAATATATATCTGAAGAGTATATATACTACAGGGAATTACTACTAGGAAAGATAGATGGCAGCTACTGGAGTGTAATTATTACCAAAAATATCTGTATTAATGACATCCCATTATTACAGATATACAATATTAGGTTTTAAAAACTTGTAACAGAATATTCACCTTTCATATATTATGCATTTATTCAATCACCCTTACTGAAGAAGAGATGTTAATAAAGCTTTTCATATTCCCCATTTTGAAACAAAAATGCTAGATATTGAGGAAAACCATACATCTTTCCCTTCCAGTCTTTCATTCTAATCATTAAGTATGGAAAACACTAAAACTTTTACTCATATAAGCTAAGGTGACCTTTGTAAAGGAAATACTGTTTATTTTGTAAAGATCACCCTCCACACTGACATAGGCTATTCAACTAAATGTAACAAAGAAAACATTGTTTTGAAATGCCTAACTTCTTAAAGGATAAACAATAAGAAAGTTCTACTTACCATATACATTAGTATGTCTCTAATCATCACCATAGCTGTTTGATGATCATTCCAAGCTTGATTTAGCGTTTGAAGAAAGTTGTTATTCAATGAATTAAGTACATCCTCTCGCACCTATTAACAGAAGAGTTCATTACAGTTTGTTTATACACACTCATACACACACGCCCGCACTTATAACATGCACTTATCTCTGTTTAATGAAATAGTGAAGTGGACTCTTCAATTTTAAATTAAAGAAATATGTTACAGACCAGAAGAAACATTTTAAGCTATAATATAAGCTATGTACAGATGAATAACAAATGTGTTTTGCATAGTCCAGACCCTACCCTTGACCTCTAGAAGCATAAAGCAATCTCCTGGGCATTTCTTAACATCACAGTCAGAAAAAAAATCCTCAATACTTGTAAGGAACTAAAAGGTTCTATAAAACTGGCCCCAGGATATTGCTCCAACTCCACCTTCCCTTCCCCATCTTTGAAAAATGGTGAGAACATTGATTCTGGACTCAAATTACCTGGGCTCAAATCCCAGCTCCCCGACTAGCTGTGTGACTTTGGATAAGTTATTTAATCTCTATGCTTCAATTTCTGTGTATGTGAAATAGTGTCCATTTTGAAGGATTGTTGTAAGGACTGAATTAACACTTGTAACACACTTAGAACAGTCCCTGACACTCATTAAACAGTCAGTGAACATAAACTATTAATTTAATGCTCTAGTTACAATAGAGCTGCAGACAGCAAATGTGCTCTGCCATGTTTTCTGCCTTGATTCACAGCTCACTCACTCACTTTTTTCTATTAAAGTTCCACCTCCATAGACAGGTTTCCCTTGACCACTTCCTCACAGTAATCATCACTACTGACTATATTATTAATCTATTGTTTCTCCCACAAAAATGAAGGTTCCACAGCAGCAGAAATTCTGTCTTTTCCATGTGTACCTCCCACACCTACAACAGTGCCTTATTTCATCCTCACTCTCCAATACCATGATCCATTTCCAACATAATAACCTCTTTTCAGGGTATCTGCCTTTGCACATAAAGTTCTCTGGGTCTGAAATGCCTTCCTAATACAGTCCTGACAAGACTTCCCCAACTTCAAGAATTCCTTTTCATGGTCCACAAGCACACTGCAACGTTCTCCAATTAGAGGTTAACGACCACTAATTCTTCCTACTATGGTATCAGTCCAATGGAAAGAGTATTTAACTAGGAAACATAATCTAGACTCTAGTACTAGCTTTATCATGAAGTAGTAGTATGTTTGTCCTCTAAATTTCTATAACACTTTTGTTGGACTGTATTGCCAAACTCTCCAGTTATTCAAAATCCAAGTAATCCTCCATAGTCTAGTTCAATTCTCTAGCTTAATTCTCAATAACACCAGCCTAACCAGACAGATATCTTTATCTCCAAACATCCTTTACCATATATAAACTGCAGTAGTAAACATTTTTCAGGTTGGGGAGAATCTGAAGTCATGGTGTTTTTTAGGAGACAAATTATATAATACATACGTATTAAAATACATAAATATCTATAAACCTGAATTCTCGACACAAGTAAATAAAATGTCATTATGTTTATAACTAGTATAAACAAGTGTCTGAAAATACCAAACACTAGAAGAAAATACACATAACACACTATTCCCAACACATGAGAGAATGAGTTCAAATTGAGAAAACTGTATCTGATTTATTTTCTCTTATATATTAGAGGAAAAGAGATATTAGTGATAAGACAATACATATATTCTATTTAACATGTAGTATAAAAACCACTAGCTTATACTACATAATTTAGAATTTTATTATATAGTTAATCTTCTGTTCACAACTGTATTTTGTCTTGTACACAAGATGTATTTCGAAGCTTCTGGACTTCAAAATGTATCACCGAGAAATTCTTCCATAGATATGTTGACTATATCAAAATTAATAAGCACCTATGTCAGCTGACAGCACTGTGTTTAACAAATACTATTATGCAAAGTGGATAAAATAAATCATTTATTTCAACTCATTAAGTCTACCACTTGTCAGATACAAATTCCCAAAGTAGCTAACATTAAAAAAAACACAGCAAGTTGAAAATGTAGCTATTTTCAAAATTCTTCACTAAACTTCGTATTCTTTCACTAAACAACTAAATTCTGAGTGTCAATAAAATTAAAATCATGACAACACTAGAGAAACTGTACTACGTAACAAAAATAAAAGGATATATTCCAAACACCAGAATATCTAGCAATGAATTATTCTTAGGACTGAATAAAATTCTGTATACCCCTATGTTATAAAAATCAAGTTATGTGTTACCTACATTAAAATCACCCTAATTAAGGAATACAAATATGTGCCTGATATATTCATTTGGATGAATGAAAAAGTGATCAATTTAAAAGTTATGAAATATATTTTTCAAAATCACTAATACACTCTAAAATATATCAAGTATTAACGTAATATTTATACTTATACTTGACTTTCAACAAAATTCTGAATGTGTTCTACTAGCACAATGTCATAAAGCTTTGTTGGCATCATACTTCAAAAATGATCCTCACAAATCAGTAACAGGGCATATTACTTAGCAAAATATAGCTACTAAGATTTAATTTTGTGCCCTGGCTGGTTTTGCTCAGCGATTAGAGCTTCGGCCCGCAGACCAGTGTGTCCTGGGTTCAGTTCCCGCTAAGGGCACATACATCAGTAGCAGTTTGTCCCCGGCCCCAGTTGGGGTCGTGTGGGTGGCAACCACTTGATGTGTCTCTCTCACATCAATGTTTCTCTCTCTCACTTCCTCCATCTCTCCCTCTCCCTCTATCTAAAGATAAATGCAAAAAAAAAAAGGTGTCCTCTGGTGAGGATAAAAAAAGAATTAATTTTGTTATATTTAGTTTTGAATGACTATGCATAAAGACTATATGCCTAAAATGTAAAATGCCTTAGATACATTTGCTGTTATCTCCTCTTAATTATTCAAATCATTCTATGAGAAAAAAATTATTCTTCAATACTATTTCAGAAAAATATCTTTTTACTCTAAATATATATAATAAAATGGTAGGATTCAGATGAAAATTCAACCTATATGAAAATTAAAACAGGCTTTTAAAAAGATAAGCTGGCATATAAGTGAAAAATATACTTTAAATGAAAAAAATTCACCTCATTTTACAAATTATTAATGCAATACAGAAATTTTGAAAAAAAGAGAAAGTGGGGGGAGTATGTGTGTGTAACATTGTTAGTCTCACACCCCAACACAACCATTAATTTCTGCATCAGCAAAGGCAAATGGGAAGGAACCCTGCTGTAGAGGTAACCTCTGAATCAGAGGGGCCTGCAGGCAAGTGTGATCAGTATTATTACTTAAGAAAACCTCCGAGAAGGTTATCCAGATGAAGAGTTGGAATTTGAAGGGTGAGATAAGCAAGAACAAGTAAAAGCCATGGGAGTTGAGAGTAGGATGGGGCCAACTGTGACAAAGAGGCTAAAATGAGCAGTTGATAAAGGATGAAGCAATATACAGACAATAGTTCAAAATAGATCATAAACTTGGTGATTAATCAGAATCACTTGAAGAGCAGATTTTGATCAAGAGAACAAGACAAGGCACACTGGGAGAAAATATCTGTAAAAGACATTATCTGATAAGACTGTTCAACCTTGTTACTTAGCTTATAGAAAAACTGGTTTTGTTACATGTCATTTCACTGAAGTCACAGAACCTATGGACAATATCAATTAATTGAGGACTTCCTGTGTACAAATAATGCATAAAAGTCAACAACAAGAAAACAAATTACCCAATTTAAAAAATTGACAGAAGATCTGGCCACCTCATACAAAAACCCACATGGTGCCCTGGCCAGTTTGGCTCAGCAGTTAAGAGCGTCGGCCCTCAAACCAATGAGTTGCGGGTTCAATTATGGTCAAGAGCACATACCTAGGTTGCGGTTCATCCCTAGCCCTGCTCGGGTAGTTTGGGAGGCAACCAGTTGTCATATCTCTCTCACATCGATGTTTTTCTCTCTCCCTCCCTCCCACTCTATCTGATGACAAATGGAAAAATATCTTCAGGTAAGAATTAAAAAAAAATCCATATGGCAAATAAGCATATGAAAAGATGTTCAATATCAGAACACTAAAGAAATGTAAATTAAAGCAACAATGGGATACCATAATATATCAGTTAGAATGGCCAAAATCTCAAACAATGACAACACCAAATGCTGGTTAGGATGCACATTAAGAGGCACTCTCATTCATTGCTGGAAGAAATGCAAAATGGCACCAGCTGCTTTGGAAGACAGTTTGGCAGTTTCTTCAAAACTAGACATATTCTTACCATAATGATCCAGCAACTATGCTCCCTGGTATAAATACCAAAGGAGTTGACAACTTATATCCACACAAAACCCCACACACAGATGTTTATAGCAGCTTTATTCATAGTTGCCAAAACTTGGAACCAAGCAAGCTATCCTTCAGGAGGTGAAACGGTATACCCAGACAACAGAATATTATTTAGCACTAAAATGAAATAAGCTATCAAGCAATGAAAAGACATGAAGAAACATTAAGTGCATATTATCAAGTGAAAGAAGACAATCTGAAAAGGCTAGACACCATATGGTTCCAACTGCTATATGACATTCTGGAAAAGGCAAAACTAAGGAGGCTGTAAAAACACTTGCTGTCGGGTTAGGGGGAAGGGAACGATGAAAAGGCAGTGAGGGTATCTATTTGGTACTATAACGGAGGATACATTTCATTATTTTGTTAGAACCCACACAGTGTACACTGAGTGACCCCCTAATATAAACTATAGACTGAGTGACAATGATACCTCAATGTGGGTTCATCCACTGTAACAACTGTATTCTCTAGTGTGAGATGTAGAAAGTAGGGGAGGCTGTATTTGTGTGTGGAGGCAGGGATACATGAAAAATCTCAGTACCTTCTATTCAATTTTGCTGTGAACCTAAAACTGCTCTAAAAAAATAAAGTCTAGCTCTGGCCAGTTTGGCTTAGTGGTTGGAGCATCGGCCACGGACCAGAGAGGCCCAGGTTCTGTTCCCACTAAGGGCACGTGC